ACAGACTATTTCTCATGAGGACTGAAAATCCAACGATCTTCTGCTGAATAATATTCTAGTTCAACAGAAAATCAAACTGAGCTCAAACACAAAGAGTCTGTTTTAAAACCTAGTGGCAGGCCTCGTTGTCTGATGCCTACATAGGAAGCTGCCTTCTAAGGGAACATCCTTGATGAAATGGAACCACATAAGTGATTTGGAAGAGTACGTACAGGTATGCAGCAACTTAATGCTCCTCATGTGAAATAATTTACATTTAAATATATTTAAAATAGAAAATAGTTATTTTAAATAGTAATAATATTTCACAATTTTAATGTTTTTACAGTATTTTTGATCAAATAAATGCAGCCTTGGTGAGACTTCTTTCAAATACATTAAAAACTTACAAACACCTCATTTTTGATTGGTAGTATGGTCGATTTCTAATTCATTTTGACTTTTTTTCGGATCTTGTTGCGTTGCATAGGCTTGCAAGCTTCATGAAGGATGCATGCATTGGTGGCATAGAATTTGGAAATAATTTGTCTATAGGCAAAACTTTTCAAAAACGCAAAAAAAGGTCATTTTTTATTAAATCATATCATGTATGTTCCCTGAAAGGCCTTACATGCCTTCAAATGCTGTATAGTTTGGCAGTTCACTAGGTGTCAGAGCCATATATACTCGTAGAATCTAACTATCTCTCTCTCTCTCTCTCTCTCTCTCTCACACACACACACACACACGCACAGACATGCTATTTTGTTTCTTATCAGAGGCCTTGAAACTACCTGTCCACCTCAATCAACATGCTTGGCCTTCAACGTTGTGCCTGATGTGCCTCAGTTATTAGAGCATAAGATCTCTCTCTCACTTAATCTTTCACTACCTCTCTCTATGTTAGTGAGAATGGCAGATTCCATTCTTTTTATGGAGCGCCATGACCTGCATGTAATAACACCGGCCTTGATCCTGGTTTCTCCCTCTGAGGGGATTTTTCATGTTTTGCTCCATCAAAGGTTGCTCAGCTTTACATGTTACTGCAATATATAAACTACATGTTTTCACCCTCAGAATATTTGGAACTGAAGACTGCTTAGCAGGAGGCTTGAAAATTAAATGCAACAGCAGTTATGGCACAAGACATGCAAGAAGCTGCTGGGTACTAAAAAAATAGTAGTTACTGATTAGCTACCACATTCAACTAAGCACTATTACTTCTTAATTAATAGAGTTCCTTGTTAGTTAACAGTAGTTACTAGCGTGCTAATATTGTGTTACTCATGTGTTCCTATAGTAGTTATTCATTAATAACAGAACAGTATTCTCAAGCGTTACCAGCTGATGAAGTTATTGACATCAACGATGGGGCATTGTTTAATTTTTAAATACATTGCATGCAAAAGAGATCTGAGAGCTCCACCAAAGGTGTTTTTCCCCTCAGCAAATAATCATTCAAAAGCTAAATATGTCTTCATAAGATTTGGAATATAGGGCACACAACCTAAAAGGATAGTCCATCCTAACATTGTGTCATTGCAAATCTCTGAGTTTCTTTCTTTCTTTCTCTCTTTTTTTTTTTGCAACACAAAATAAGATATTTTGGAGAATGCTGGTGTCCAAACAACATGGAGCCCACTGACTTGCATTGCATGGGGGGAAAAAAACATATCTTCTGAAAAATTCTCAAAATATCTTCTTTTGTGTTCCACCAACACAATCTCGTAACTATTTTTATGTTTTGACGAATTGGTGGCTAACTCATGGATCTTAATTCTTACTTATTTTCTAAACATCTGACGTGAAGTGAAGTGACGTGACATGTGGCCAAGTATGGTGACCCATACTCGGAATTAGTGCTCTGCATTTATCCCGTCCAAAGTGCACACACACAGCAGTGAACACACACACACACCATGAACACACACCCAGAGCAGTGGGCAGCCATTTTTTGCTGCTGTGCCCGGGGAGCAGTTTGGGGGTTCGGTGCCTTGCTCAAGGGCACCTCAGTTGTGGTATTGAAGGTGGGAGAGAGCGCTGTACATTCACTCCCCCCACCTACAATCTTTTGGGTCACGAGTCCGACTCTCTAACCATTAGGCCATGACCATGATGAACTGTGTTCATCTGATTCACATCATACAAATTCATTTGAAATTGCTACCTTGTAAAATAGTTGTTTTCTAATATCCCAAGACAGGTTTACTATGACATGAGTTTGAATAAATGATGACAGAATTGTCATATTTTTCAACGATCCAAACTTCATCAAATATGAGATAAATCCAAATTCTGCTGTAAATCAGCTCTAACAAGACAATAGTGTCATTATTCAGCTCCAGTCAGTTCAGTGTTGATTCAGTTCAGTTCAATAATTGTGTGCAGATCATCATTTATGAAACAAGTTCAATAAACAGAAGAAAATAGTGTCGTTATTCAGCCTGAATCAGTTCGATGTTGATTCAATGCAGTTCAATAACAGTGTCAAGACTGCAAAATTAATCAATTATGAAGGACTACTTAGGACAACAGTTCAGCTCAATACAGTTTACATTTTGTTCTCATCTGATAATGTCAAATCAATAACATTACTGAATATTTAGTGTATTTTAAACCCCAACTAAGCAAGTCAAAGCCAGCCCCATCCAAGTTCACTTTCATTGTACAGAAGAAAAAAAAAAACAGCAAGGATATTGTGCAAAATAACTAATTGAATGAAAATAAATAATTAAATGAAAATAAATAAACAAATAAAAACAATACAATACAATATTTATTTGGAACAGTATGAGTAACTTTCAACATTTGCAGTTGTGTGAGAGAATGAGTTCAGTTCATCTGGTGAATTTACATTTCAGCTGAAGGGATGAAAAAAGTGACCAACAGATGGAGACAAGCACAACGAGAGTCAGACAGAGAAAGAGAGCCACTGAAAAAGGGGTTATTAAAATGACCAGTGTATAAATACGTGTCAGTAATGGACTGCAATATTAAAACTACATTTGTCTGAGGATTATTCACAGGGAATGGGAGTTCTGTACTTAAACTGTTTTGAACTGTTGAATGTTGAGTCAATAAAGGAAGGCTTTTTTACCCTCACATCTCTTTGTAATTGTGCGGCGTTGAAAGACTCCTTTACATGTTCGCAGCTCCCAGCATGCTCTCTGTTCACCTGGTGACACCAACAGAAAGAGCAAATTTTCTAGAAGCCGGAGCACAGTGGTGAACTGTGCTAAGTGGCCGGCCTTTGTTGGTTCTTTTAAGCTCACTTTTTCTCTATTGCTTTTCCTTTTTCTTTCTGACCATCCAGGCAGCAGCGACAGGGAATCAATCCTTTAGAGATCCCCAGCAGGTTTAGCTTTCCCTGTCTCTCTCTCTCTCAGACTCCCTGTTGATCCGCATTCATCAGGAACATCAAAGGGCAGCTCAGGATGCTGCTGTGTCCCTGGTTTGCCGACCCCTCCTGGTTGATTCTGCCGCCCATCAGGAAACAATCTCCCCTCCGCCGCACAGACTCATCTAATCAATGTGGAGGTTTATGGCTCTCAGAGTTCCTATGGCTCCTGCGAAGAGCTAAAGGCCTGTGAGGTAGAAAGTGTCTTAAGAGAGAATGACTGCACATTGAGACTCGAATCCCACCCACAAAAAATCACCAGCTCTTTAGTCCCAGTTGTTTCTTCAAGACAGCAGTGAGATCAAATTCTTCTCAGGTTTTTCTCCTGTCAACCTAGTAATGTCATGTTTCTCTACTCAGATTTACCAAGAAAGCCTGCAATCAAAAGTCTCAATATGAACTCTAGCAATCAATCAAATTTTCCCCTGGAAATGCATTTATCATAGGAAAGCTTAAGGAAAAACACATACAATCTCTTATCCCAATTGTTTCTCATAGACAGCAATAACATTAAAAAAAATCAAGGAAGAAGAAAAGGCGACCAAATAATCTCACACTTGTCAAACTGTGCTCAATTCCACCAAAGTCTGCAATCAAAACTCTGAGATCTCCATATGAGCTTAAAATGGGTTATGAACTGAGAAATTAAAAAAAAATCACAATCTTTTGACAGATAGGGGGTCATTGTACTATAAAAACATCCTGTAAGTTTCAGAACTCAAAACTTTCTCGTTAGTCTAAAAACAGCTTGTATTGAAACCAATCTGCAAAACGACAGGTTGTGGAATGTGCCACTTTATGACGTAATAGTGTGGTTAAACATCGCCTCCGCTGCAGAAGATCAATGCCTGCTTCTAAATCACTGATTCTTTAGCCCCGCCCACCGATTTGCTCATGCTGTCAGGGTTCTGGACTGTCTGTGTGCGTTTTGCTCCCTGTGACCCAGTTTCTCCTCGTGTTTATTGTGTTAATTTGATTATGATTCCATGCACCTGTGTTCCCCTGATTGCCCTCTGTTTATTAGCCCCAGTCTGTGTAGTCTTCCTTTGCCGGTTCTACTTGTTGAACGTCTTCCTTGCCTGTGTTATGTGAGTGTCCTGCCTGTTCGACCCCACTGATTGGATTATTAAAGACTATTGTTTGTGTTAACGCCAGTGTCTCATCGTTCCTCGTTTCCTCCCAGAGAGAGTGTGACACATGTAGTGTAAATAGCGAGAGGCAAACACAGGACTATATAGAAATCAGAAGAAAAAGATGGCTCCAAAGATAACAAGATCCTGTACAGTGCCAAGTTGTGGAAAAACTGTCTTTGCATTGCCTTCCTTCTTATCCCAACATTATTCAACATTATTTTTAATGAAGTTCCAGACCACGTCAGTAAGAACTTGGTCCTCTGAGAAACTGTGCTCAGATTTGCCAAGACATCAAAGTCTGCCATCTATGAACATACACATATTTCTCATCCAATTCTTTCAGAAACAAATTATCTGATTTTTAATTGCAGACTTTGATATCTACTGAGCTCGAATGATCAGATAGTCTTATGTGTCTGTTATTATTTCTCAATAGGACTTTAGGAGAAACATATCTGTAAAGAAATAGCAACATCCGAACAATTAAATGTTCCTCTAGGAGTCTTTTCTCACAGAAAAGCTTAAGGAAAATACAAATAATATCTCTTATCTCAATTGTTTCTCCTAGACAGCAATAAGTTAAAAACAAAATCAAATGGTGATCTTTACTTAAATCTCCTATGGAAAATACTCCAAAAAAATCTCAAACTGTGCTCTGCGATCTTGCTATGAGCAAAAATACAAATTGGATCTTGTATGTCAGTTGTTTCTCTCAGATAGCAATGAGATTAAATGGGATCAAATGGAGACTTTGGGGTCTCCTGAGAAAAGACCCTGTGTAATCAATGCTAAAAAAAAAATTGCAATCCTAAGTCATATTTCAACATGAAATTCAAAATCAGATTCATCCCAAATATCTTAGCTGCTATTCACATTGATGTATACCTCTTTATATATGAAAAAGGCAATTGTAGGAGAAACATCTGAGACAAAGTTAATATTGAGTTTAAACAGAATTAAGAGCTTAAGTCTCCAGAGCTATAAAAGAGCAACCTCTGAGCAATAAAACTTTTCTTTGGTCAGAGAGGAAAACAGGTGCGTTGATTGATAGCAGGGTGATGAGATGGTCAAGTTAAGTAGGGATGAGGGTTGTGTAAGAGACTAACTTTATGTTGTGGTGATCTGAAAGCATTTGAGAGGGGAGGACCTCACAGTTCTGTGATCGTGAGACAAGCTGAGACAGAATAAAGCCTGAGAGACAGATTATGCTCAGCTCCAAGACAAATGAGAAGAAACATCTGAACTCTATCTGCAGTGGCAAACAAAAGGAATGAAGGGATTAGAGCAGTCAAGCAGTCCTTCCCTCTCTCTTTGTGTCTCACACACATGTGCCTTCTCATTATTCACAGCACTCTAGTTTACACGCGCACACACGTCACACACACACACACACACACACACACACACACACACACACACATATGTGCCTTCTCATTATTCACACCACTCTAGTTTACACACACACACACACACACAAACAACAAGTTTTTATACCTTGCTCAACTCTTAAAATAAGTTATCCGAAAGCACAGAATGTTCCATATGCTTCCAAGATGATTTGGTGTGTGTGTGTGTGAGAGAGAGAGAGAGAGGTTGAAACATAATTTTATTCCATATTTAACAATTTAAAAATATCACCAGTATTACATCATCTTTACACAATCTTCAAATTGTTAAAAAGGTAAAACCAACTCTCCATCACTATCAACAACACAAAGAACACTTCCAACAGACCATTTTCCAACAAAAGCCTGTAAATTGTTGATTAATTTATAATAAACATACTCAATTCTGAGGCGAGCTTCTAACATTCCCAGAAAAACCCAATAGACCTCTTTTGACCCTTTGTTCTGAATTTTATTTTTTCTGGAAAGCCATATAGAAAGTTTAGCTACTCCAAAAACAAAATTCAATAAAACATGTTTTTGTTTTTCCTTAGCAGAATACTTTGGTCCAAAAATAAATAGAGGTAAAGAAAAACATTCCCCCCAGTTTAAACACCACTGTTTTAACAAATTAAATAACACCCCCAATCTACCACAACCACAAAACAAATGCACCAAAGTTTCATCTTGAATACAAAATGGACATTCCACTCCTTGACTAGAATCTAAATGGGCTACATGTTTATTAGTGGCTATAGCCCCATGGACTATTCTCCATTGGAGATCTTCTGTCCGTTTATCAATAGGCATCTTATACAGAGATCTCCAACATCCTTTCACGGGCTGATCAGGAGCAAAAAAGTCAAACCACCTTGATGTTTTCATTCCTTCAAAAGATCTGCTATGGAGTATTTTCACATACAGTATATAAGCCTCCTTTTTACCCAACTCTTCAAAAGAACTCAGATGTAAATTTGTAAATGAAAGAAAACCATCTTCTAAACCAATCCGTTCACTCACAGTTGGAAAGATATCAAGACATGGGAAAATATACTCACACCCATCCTCCCACTGATTAACCATATCATGATCTTCAGCAAACTCTCTTATGGCGCTTTTCCACTGCATGGTACGGCACGGTACGGCTCAGTACGGTTCACTTTTGGGGGGGTTTCCACTGGGTTCAGTACCTGGTACCTGGTACCTGGTACTTTTTTTAGTACCACTTCGGTTGAGTTTCACACACACACACACACACAAACAACAAGTTTTTATACCTTGCTCAACTCTTAAAATAAGTTATCCGAAAGCACAGAATGTTCCATATGCTTCCAAGATGATTTGGTGTGTGTGTGTGTGAGAGAGAGAGAGAGAGGTTGAAACATAATTTTATTCCATATTTAACAATTTAAAAATATCACCAGTATTACATCATCTTTACACAATCTTCAAATTGTTAAAAAGGTAAAACCAACTCTCCATCACTATCAACAACACAAAGAACACAAGCCTGTAAATTGTTGATTAATTTATAATAAACATACTCAATTCTGAGGCGAGCTTCTAACATTCCCAGAAAAACCCAATAGACCTCTTTTGACCCTTTGTTCTGAATTTTATTTTTTCTGGAAAGCCATATAGAAAGTTTAGCTACTCCAAAAACAAAATTCAATAAAACATGTTTTTGTTTTTCCTTAGCAGAATACTTTGGTCCAAAAATAAATAGAGGTAAAGAAAAACATTCCCCCCGGTTTAAACACCACTGTTTTAACAAATTAAATAACACCCCCAATCTACCACAACCACAAAACAAATGCACCAAAGTTTCATCTTGAATACAAAACGGACATTCCACTCCTTGACTAGAATCTAAATGGGCTACATGTTTATTAGTGGCTATAGCCCCATGGACTATTCTCCATTGGAGATCTTCTGTCCGTTTATCAATAGGCATCTTATACAGAGATCTCCAACATCCTTTCACGGACTGATCAGGACCGAAAAAGTCAAATCACCTTGATGTTTTCATTCCTTCAAAAGATCTGCTATGGAGTATTTTCACATACAGTATATAAGCCTCCTTTTTACCCAACTCTTCAAAAGAACTCAGATGTAAATTTGTAAATGAAAGAAAACCATCTTCTAAACCAATCCGTTCACTCACAGTTGGAAAGATATCAAGACATGGGAAAATATACTCACACCCATCCTCCCACTGATTAACCATATCATGGTCTTCAGCAAACTCTCTTAGTGACTGTGGTAATGATTCGCAAACATCTACCACAATCCTTTCCATCAATCTTTCAGATCTTATATTTGCCAATTGTCCTAATTCAACAAGAGATGAATGCATAGCTTTTAAAAGTTGGCCTAACTTTGTACACCCAGCCTCTCTCAGTGCTGAGCGCAGGCTAATAGAATTTAAAGAACTTGCACAAAGGAATTCATTATAGAATAGTGGCTCTTCAAAGATCCACATACCAGGTAGAACACCGGAATCTCTGGATACTTTCAAAATTTGCCACGCCTGCAAAACCGAATCATAAGATGTTAGACCTGTGACTTGTACCTCTTCAAGTTTCAGCAAAAAAAATTGCTTACTATAACCCAACCTCCCTACCGTCTGTAAAAGCAATTTTGCAGTTTCATGGCATCTCAATCCATTTCCATACAAAAATCTTTGTGCCATTTTTAGTCTAAAAGCCACTATTCGTGAAGATAAATCAACAAGCCCCTGACCTCCCTCACAAAGTGGGAGATATAGAGCAGCAGCTCTAATCCAATGATACCCTGACCAAAAAAAGTCCAGAATTATCTTCTGCACACTTGTAATCAAAGCCTTTAATGGATTTAAAACCATAATTTTATGCCAAAGCATAGAAGCAACCAAATGATTGATTACTAAAACACGTCCTCTATACGACATCTGAGGAAGCAAGCATCTCCATTTAGAAATTTTTGCACATACTTTCTCCATCACCCCCTCCCAATTCCTTTCTTGGAATTGTTGTGTTCCAAGAAAAACACCCACAATTTTTATCCCATTACTTCCCCACTTCAAACCACCAGGTAAACAAGGTATATTTTCCTCTCTCCACTGTCCCACTTTTAACGCTTCACTTTTATCCCAATTAACCTTTGACGAAGAAGCCTTTTCATAACACTTCAAAGCCTTTACAATTGTATGTATATCATTTTCATTTTTAACAAAAATGTTAATATCATCTGCATAAGCAGATACAACTAAAGGTGAATCAGTTATACAGCCTGGTAAACTAAAGCCAGTCAAATGCTTTCTTAAAAAATATAAAAGAGGTTCAACAGATAATGAATACAGCTGTCCAGAAATAGGGCAGCCTTGCCTTATTCCCCTTTTTACTGGTATTGGTCGACTAAGGCCCCCTCCCACCTTGACCATACAAGAATACATTATTACATTATTATAAAGAAGAGTCACCCATGCTATAAACTTTTCTCCAAAACCAAAAGCTTTGAAAACAGAAAACAGAAAATTATGATCTATTCGATCGAAGGCTTTCTCTTGATCTAGGGATACAATTTCAATACTTTGATTATACACATTACACACATCTATCACATCTCTCATTAAAAACAAATTGTCCATTATTGTCTGGTCTGGGATGCAATAGGTCTGATCCATGTGTACAAGTAAGCCTATATAAGGCTTTAACCTATTAGACAAGGCTCTAGAGAGCACTTTATAGTTGGTACACAAAAGAGCAACAGGTCTCCAATTCCTAAGTTCAGTTAAATCTCCCTTTTTAGGAAGTAATGTTAAAACAGCCCTTCTACAGGAGGCCGGGAGTACATTATCATCATACGAGCTCATTAAAACCTCATGCAAATCAGGTCCAATAACCCTCCAAAAATGTTTATAAAAGTCAATAGTGAGCCCATCTATTCCAGGTGCACGTCCAGATGCCAGTTGATTAACAGCATTAGTGAGTTATTCCAAGCTTATTTCTTTATCCAGTTCAGCTTGTTCCGCTTCACAATGTTGAGGAAGACCTTCTAAAAGATCCTGAACACATTGCTCATCACATTGTTCCTTGTCATACAACTTGGTATAGAAGTCCATAGAGCATCTCCTCATTTCCCCTCCATCTGCTGTTACATGACCATCTGAACATTTTAAACATGTCATGCGCTGATCTTTCACAGAAGTTTTTTCCAAGTTGAAAAAGAAAGTACTTGAGGCATCCATATCTTTTAATTGAATATATCGTGACCTCACAAGTGCTCCTTTCACTTTTTCTTGCAACAAGGAATGCAGCTCCAACCTTTTTGTGTGCAATTCATTGTTATTTATTCAGTGCAATTCATTGTTATATATTATGTCTCCTCGCCTTTTAAAAGTTTATTTTCAATGCGTCTTATGTCCCGCTCAACCTCCTCTATGGCCTGTTTTAACATAACTGAAGAAAAAGAGGTATATTGTTGACAAAAAATTCTAATTTGAGCCTTCCCAATTTCCCACCACTGGTTTAAAGACTCAAAATAACTTTTAACTTTCCACTTATCCCAAAAAAATCTTAAAATTCTCACAAAAAAACATCATCTTGAAGTAGTTTATTATTAAAATGCCACTGAAATCTATTACCTTCTTTCTTTAAGAGAAGATTCACAATAATAAGATTATTATCAGAGAAGCCAACTGGTCTAATAGAGCTATCAATTAACTTCGATCTAAGCCCTTGTGACATATAAAATCTATCTAATCTAGCTGCACTCACTCTTCCATCCACAACCTTCACCCATGTATATTGTTTTACATTTGGAAATTTAATTCTCCATGCATCTATTAAATCAAAATGAAGTAATATCTTTTTAAGGTTTTTACTGGATTGTAAATGAGGCTCTTCACTAAGCCTATCAATATTAAAATCAACAGTACAATTCCAGTCTCCACCCAAAATAAAATAATCACAATCACTATATTCTTTCAGTCCCACTATTAGGTGCATAAATATAAATAAAACAATAGATGGAACCCTCTATATCAGCTTTAACCATTGTAACGGGGCTGACAAGACGTGAGACGTGCGGATCCATATGCAAGCTCTTTATTAGGAGAAGACAGAGACGTGGTCATAAAACAGGCATGGGTCAGATAATGGCAGACAGGTATATGGCGGGCAAAACACAAGAATAGTCCTAGGGCTAGCGTAGGTCGACGATCGGCAGACAGAATCACAGGGGCGAGACTAGAGGGATAAATCCAGGGAGACAGGCAAAGATCAGAACCGAGAAAACTGACAAGGCAAGGCAAAACAAGGAAACAAGGGCCGCCATTTTGTGAGCGTGCTCTGGTACAGCCACCACTTCAATCACAGACATTGCGTCGCGTTCTTCCTCCACGACACCCACAGTAAATAAAGATCCGACAGTCAACAAAGCATAATCCATGAACTGAGCGAGTGATGAACGTGGACCCTCGCGTCTAAGCTTAGCCCTCAGAGGTTGATGTATACCATCGCAGAAAAACTCTATCAATAAACAGTCTGGTAAATCAGGATAGTGAGCGATAGCTAAAAACTCTCGGATATGGTTCTCCAGTGATCGTGGACCCTGTTTAAGGGCTAACAAAATCCTTGCGGTGTCCATACCTGGCCAATGTTCCTCAGAAGAGCTGCTGGATCCTTGTTTGGCCGAGTATTCTGTAACGGGGCTGACAAGACGTGAGACGTGCGGATCCATATGCAAGCTCTTTATTAGGAGAAGACAGAGACGTGGTCATAAAACAGGCATGGGTCAGATAATGGCAGACAGGTATATGGCGGGCAAAACACAAGAATAGTCCTAGGGCTAGTGTAGGTCGACGATCGGCAGACAGAATCACAGGGGCGAGACTAGAGGGATAAATCCAGGGAGACAGGCAAAGATCAGAACCGAGAAAACTGACAAGGCAAGGCAAAACAAGGAAACAAGGGAAGGATAACAGGAACTAGGAAAACTAACAGGCGAAGTAATACTCGGCAGTGAATGGTAGTTTGAGTGAGTGATATATAGTGAGTGAGTGATGTGAAACAGCTGTGTGCAATCCGTGCTGAGTGCAATCAGTGCAATGAATGATGGGATATGTAGTCCAGGGCGATGTGCAACAGTGTGTAGTGCGAGAGTCAGTGAAACTGGAAAGGGTGACCTCCGATGGCTAGCAGATGGAAGTTCATGGACTGGATTCGTGACAACCATTAAACCTCAACCTTTAACTAATATACAAGAATTTAAAATCTTCACCTTTAAACTGTTTGAGAAAAGCACAGCCACCCCTCCACTAACATTACTCCCATGACTTAAAAAAAATTGACCACCCCAAAATAAACCCCAATCAACTTCATCTTTTATAGTGCTATGCGTTTCCTGGAGAAAAATAACATCAAGTTTATTCCTATAGACTATCTCCTTTACCAATTCTCTCTTCTGTCTGTCCCTCCCACCATTTATATTTAATGAGCCTACTCTTAAACTCCCCATAGAGAAAAAGGAACAGATAGAGAAATAAGGAAACCAACACGTGCAACATGATGAAGACAGACATCACTTATTTTTTGCTAAAGCTTTTTTATATTTTCGAGTTTTATTTGCCTTGGGGACCTTTTTCAACGCAGTAACATGTTTCCTCAATCGATAACGCTTCCTTTCATCTAACAAATCAAAACTGACCATCTTTTGCAAAATTGCAACCGACCTGATAACATTTTCTGTTTCAGCAAAATAATCATCAACTTTAACAGACTGTCCAAAAGTTTCATCGAGAAAATAATTAATTTCCTCCAGTGAATACAGATCTCTCGACCTGTTTGATGCATCAAATCCTTCTCCATCTGACTCATCCTGTTCCATTTCTTCAGCATCACTTTCTACTTGATTTTTATCATTTGACACAGTTTCTACATCCTTCTGATTATTTTCTACAACAACATCCTGCAAAACAGGCACACTTTTACCCACGGCTTCACTTATATTCAATCTTTCTCCTGTATTTTCAACATCTTTTAAGCTCCCTCCAGCTTTATCAACGGGAACTGACTGCTCTAAAAGCCCATCAACTTTCTCATTTTCTCTATTAGTCTCTACCATCTCATGAACCATACTTACCATCCGTTCACCCTGAGAAGTAGAATTGCTGCTATAAGCTGTAACTCTTTGTCCATCAACTTCATTCGGTTGTTCAGTAGGTCTCTCTGCATGTTCCACTTGTTCTCTATGAGGGCAAGCAAGACGCTTGTGCCCCACATCCCCACATTCAAAACATTTCATGCTCCCTGAATTAGCATACACCGTGTAATATCCTCCTCCATGCTTTATCTTAAATGAAACATCCAAAGACTGTGCCGGAGAATCCAAAAACATGAACACTTGCCTCCTAAATGAGATTACATATTTTAAACGGTCATCTTTACATCCAAGAGTCACCGTCTTAAATCCACTTGCAAATTTTCCAAACCTACGCAATTCTTGTTTGATTAACTCATTAGGGATAAAAGGTGGAACACCTGAAATAACTACTCTCGTTGAGGGAACAGATAGCGGCGAAACTTGAACAAAAGTATCATTAATAAAGACTCCATTTTCAATCAAAGCATGAACCAAACGTTCCTCTTTCAAAAAAACAACAGCAGCTTTGTTCATCCGAGATGCATAAGATATACTGTCATAGCCAACCTGTTCACCTACCACAAACAAAGCCTCTTCCTTAGTGACCCCAGGATCCGTAATAAACCGAACCCTGTGCCCAATGGACAGCGGCAGCGTCACAAAGGACGCCATTCCCCGCAAACTTTCAAACAATACCACCAGCGCACCTCTCCGTCGTCTTCAAAAACGAAAAAGCAATAAATGATGTCTTACCTTTTTCATGCATGTGAAAAAGATGAAAAAGCTCACCACAGCCGTGTACCAAAAAGTAGCCAAACGCTAGCTCTCCACCCGCAACCACTCACTCACACAACCGGACGGCTGACAGTATCAGGACCATTTATGCATTAAAGTTTGTGGGAGTTTATTTATACTTTTTGAATTGAGTTACATTTGAGCAAATTTGCATCTAGGGACATTTTTATTTGTAAAAACAAATTTGGGTACGGTAAGATTTTTTAAATGTTTTTGAAGGAAGTGTCTTATGCATATTTGTGCATATGAGTATATCTTAAAGCACATTTTAGTACCTAAATGGTACATATTAGTGCCTTTTGAAAGGGCACCGTCCCAGTGACAGCTTTTGGACTTCTGAAAGTGTTCAGGTCTGTATACCACAAACAGTGCAGGGATGAGTTTTGAAGAAAAAAAAATCTCTTAGCAAGCACCACAAAAGACATGAAGCAGTTATAAAACAAGCAGATAAATAATTATTTAAAAGCTTTTAAATTGTCTCTCCACTTTATATACACCATAGTATACCTCTTCCCTTCACTCTTCTCTATAGTTTATCAGCCATACTATAAAAGCTGCCAGTCTCCAAAAGAACTGCATTTTCAAGGCTGTTCAGATATGCTCACTGAAGACAGTGGAAAAATACTGAATCTCGAGTTCCTGTTCACTGCCTAAGCCTTTTTTATCAGCGTGCTCAAACGATCCGGTGTGGAACCAGTGACTGGGCCTCAGCCTGATCAATAATGCAACAGTGCTGCAAACCAGCCACCTTACAAATCAATTAAAACCCATTACTGGCCCTGTGTTCATTCACCAGCAGCTGTGTGTTTATTTAGCTCCGTCAGCTCAGGCTGGGAGAGACTGATCTCTCTACAGTTTGTGCAGGTGCCCGAAAGGAGACGTGTGAAAAGGAGGCATTGTGCAGATGGGAACGTATGAGCTCGAAAAATTCCACAAATGTGCATTTCATCCACACCTCACAATCCGCTCGCTTATTTCGGCTGAGTTTGGTTTGGCCGAGCGCTTGCCGGCAGCCGTGACTTACACACACCTTCCAGCAGGATCTGTGATGGAGTCCAGGCCTCTATCTGTTGCTCTCCCAACTGTCCACAGGAGTGTCGGCTTTCATGAGGGGAATGTGTTTGTAACTCTTGGCAGTGTCAAAAAGCCAGAGGCATTACCACGGACCGATAATCAAAACTGAACTCCAAACCAACCCTTTCACATCTCGTTTTCTCACATACACTTCACATACAGACAGGCCATTTTTGCATAGAATACCTGAATGACTTGCATTTACATTTACATTTACATTTATGCATTTGGCAGACACGTTTCATGTATCCTAATGCAACACACTCAATTTGGCTTTCTATTTCCAATGGATTTATAAACTACAAAATCAGGAATTACTTTTTTAACATCTTGACTAATTATTTGACCAGACAACACTTTTACACAAAATTAAAGGGGTGCTATTATGGTTTTTCACTTTTTCAACTTTAGTTAGTCTGTAATGTTGCTGTTTGAGCATAAAAAAGATCTGCAAAGTTACAAAGGTCAAAGTCCAATTCAAAAGGAGATATTTTATTTAACAGAAATCCCTTTTCAAAAACTACAACGAATGACTCGTTTGGACTACAACGCATATTTTCCGGGATTTGTGATATCACAAATACAGACGAATGGGACGAGACCTGGTTGAGCTGCACTAGAGAAGGCAACGAGTGTTATCACTATGTCGGAGATACGCTAGCTTTCCCAAGACAGTCGAATTTAGAGTGGTTACAATCATCCGGGTTTAAATCGCGCTCAAATTGATTTGATTTTGACGCAATATTTACACTGAAGCTTGCAGGCGACTATGGTAAGGGGATGACTGCCAATCACAGCACACACTGGCCCAGATAACCAATCACAGCACGTTTCGTATTTCAGAAGGTGGGCCTTCATTTGATACAGGAACTTTTTGAGCCGTTCATGCCAGACTGGGGAGAGAGGTGTTGTAATAATGTAAAATATGTGAAAAATAATGTGTTTTTCGAACAACCTAGTATGAGAGCCTGTTCTAGTATACCCCCAAAACAAAATCAAGACTTTGTAAAAGAGCATAATAGGACCCCTTTAAACAAAAAATTCAAAATAATCTTTCTTCTCCAAAATCATGTCTACTCGACATAGTGACATTGTAGACCATCTAGAACAACACTTAGAACTCCCTAGCAATTATTTAAAGGTGACATATCATGAAAATCTGACTTTTCCAGGTTTTAAGTGCTATAATCAGGTCCCCGGTGCATCTACCAACCAAGGAAACTATAATATATATATATATATATATATATATATATATATATATATATATATATATATATATATATATACACTGGATTAACCCAGTAACTTTGTTTTGGTAAGCCTTTTTCTGCAAGCGTCTGAGAAAACGATCGTGTCTGATTTTGCTCCCTTGGTGACTTGGCAAAGGGATCTCATTATAGTATTACCGCCCCTTAATCTGTAAATTTACACCCACGGCGCCGTTATTGTGTTTTCACAAGCGACAACGGTGTACTAGTTCTAATGCCATAGCGAAAGTTTGAGCAAAACATACTAACTGTTCTGTCATTGGCTGCACAGACGAGCACAGAACACTGTTTACAGTCCCAGCCTCAGAGGAGACAAGAGAGCAGTGGATTTATTGATTTATTTAATGTATATTGCTGCTGCCACACAGATCTAAAATAAACATGCAATGTATTTCCCAGCTGTTTACCTTCAAAGACATAGCCGACTGTTTTTTGTAACTCATGTGTGTTTTTAACGTAAACTTGTGTGTGAATGAAAACTTAGTTTAGTACTCACATGCTGTGACAGCTGCTTTCTGTCCGTGTGCTTCGGATGTGTGCTCTCAGAAAACCAGAAGTTTAAACTCATATGGTTTATTAAAACACATGATTTCCGCACGATAAACATGATAATCAGAACCAAAGCAGATGTTTTTAGCAGGTACCAGCTGTAATGGCGCAGCTCTATTCTGAAAAAGGGGGCGGGAATTTGCAGCAGCTCATTTGCATTTAAAGAGACAGGCCCGCTTCCACTCAAAATAGGCATTTTCAAAATGATATAATAAATTATCAATTATCAGCTCAAAATAAGTATTTTGATCTGAAACTTCACAGACACATTCTGGGGACACCAGAGACTTATATTACATATTGTAAAAAGGGGCGTAATGTGTCTCCTTTAAAGCATTATGCAGCAACCAGTCATTTCCAACACTCGAGTTGAGTTCACTGCATACTGTACAGTGTTTACTGCATATTGCGTAAATCAATTTGAATTATTATGTGAAACGGTTTGCTACATGTGTGGTTGATTTCACATCTGGTCCACACTGGAAATAGAGGGTAAATTAGGGAGCACTGCATTGCTGGATACAATATCAAATGCAGTGTCTCAGTACTACGCATTTGGTCAAATATAGAAGGATATTTGGGCATTTTGTCAATTGCTTGGTTTTTATTGTTGCATTTCATTCACTGCACTCGGGGAACTCTACCCAGCTAGTCTAAAATCACATTCTACATAACTGTATGACAATTTTTCTGATTGGCTGTTTCACTCTTGCATTTTTGTTCTCGCTTTCTTTGTAGAGAGATAATCTACTTTATGCTAAAAGCTTGTTGCGTCAAGCCTGGTTCAAACAGAGTGTTATACAGAGTCTGTGTCACAGCGGTGACAGATACTGTTTGAGGCAGACGCCTGGATTATATTTAGTGTCTGACCTTCTTTTGTGCTCAGAATATCCAGGCTAAATGTCCCTCAGCCAAACAGCCCAGGCAAATGAGCTAAAACAGTATTGACACTGTATAAACAGAGGAAATTCCTCCCTCAAATTATGTTACCATTCTCTTAAGTTAGAAATGTTTTTATTTCTGAGCTCTTCAATTGCATTTCATTCACTGCACTCGGGGAACTCTACCCAGCTAGTCTAAAATCACATTCTACATAACTAGACAGATGAGATAAATAAACAGAGGAAATTCCTCCCTCAAATTATGTTACCATTCTCTTAAGTTAGAAATGTTTTTATTTCTGAGCTCTTCAAGCAGTGTTTTCTCTCTCTCTCTCTCTCTCTCTCTCTCTCTCTCTCTCTATATTATGTAAGTCAGTGTCAACTTCTCTCTCTCTCTCTCTCACACACACACACACACACACACACACAAAGCACTGATATGCGTCTTTTTTTCCCTCAGGAGATGGACAATGTGCTGGGCCCTCATGATTGACTGACTGCCCATGTTACTCTGAGAGTGATTGCCATAAACATTTCATCACCAAAATTGCTTCGTGCCATAAATACACAGCAGTGTGTGACAAAAGAGAGAGAGGACATCCTTCCTCCTTATCACCTCAGACAATTAACACACTACCTCATACATCATTCTAGAGTCATTTAAATGGACATTTCTCACTCTTGCCTTCCTTTCTGCTGGTTCACACTCACGTTTCCTTTAAAATTCACAAACACAACACTTTAACAGTCAAGCCTTATTTACAAGCATGAACACAAAAGCGCAAAAACATAAATTATTTAATTTTGTACTGCACCATAATCCATTTTGAAATGTGTATTTTATATTAAATTATATTACAGAAAAATTATTTAATAAAAGTTAGAAAAAAAATATATATATATGTATATATATATATATTTTTTTTTTCTAACTTTTATATATATATATTATTTGAACAATTAAACAATACATTTCTGCTCATTCGCTCACGTTTCCTTTTATATGCACAAACACAACATTTTTAAGAGTCAAACCTCATATATACATAAACACAAATGCACACAAATATGTAGTTCTCCATGGCCACTTGACTAAAGAATAGAACCTGATATTGTGCCGCTCACACACATATCTGCTCTCCATAGCTCTTCTGGGTACCAGATACAGTCCTTGTGAGCTTATTAAACACATTGAATCTCAATGTCATAGGGCCAAATTATAAGTGTTCGGCTGAGCGCCTACCCATAATACTCCTCTCAACTCTGGCGGAGGTCTGTCCAG